TTGATAGTTTCTCTTACTTAAAAAGAAATTCGTGTTGGAATATTGGTTGAAGTGTGTATTTATTAATCATCCACTAGCCCCTCCCTTCATGCAAGGATTATTTAACTTAAAATTAGAAAGACGAGTTCTCCAAATGATTATAAAACAAACTTGTAGGGATGGAATTACATGCGTAAGGAATATATAATTATTCACATACAAAATATCCACCAATCCTTTTATTATTATAAAGATCTCACGAGATAAAATAAAATATAAAGAATAATTAAATAGGTCATAGTCACATATTGATGTCATGAACAAATGTTGCTGAATATTTAGAATCTTAATTTCCTTACCGTCTTGAGCCGAAAGTCAAATAATTGAGTTAAATATATTTTTCGTTTTTAAAAAATGAACAAATTTTAATTTTTTTATGAAAAAATTTTCATTGATTCATCCTTCTAAAATATAAACTCTTATTTTTTTAATTATTTATTTATTTATTAAAAAATTAAGTAATCATCCCACGTATTACTCATAATTATTAATAGTGACATAAGTTTGTGACACCTATAAAAAATGTTATAGGTATTAAAATAAATGTTACTTATATACTTTAAAATATTCTTATAAACTATAATTAATGATTTTAGATTTTAAAATGATGAAAATAAAAAATATATATATTTTACAAAGACTAAAAATAAAATATACTTATTTTACATAAATTAAAAACATATTTAAACATAATATTTTTATGTAAATTACGTTACATTACAATGTATGTGTGTCTATAATAAAATTATAAGATTATAATTATATTTTCCAACAGATACTACTCTCTCTTCCTATTTTTTTTTTAAAATCATTTTTTAAGTTGAGTTTAGATGAGAATGCAAGTTTTTTAAATTATAAAACTTACTATATAGTTACAATTTGTCCATTTATATTGTGACAAAATCTGTTGTTTACTTCAATATTGAATATGTATTATCTTTAGAGACACAAGTTGCTTGTTGGAAGAACTTTAGAATTACATGAAAGGACAAACTCTTTTATGATACGCACAGTTGACAAGTGTAATACGGAAAAAAAGGGATATATGAATTGCGCCATCAACTGATTTTTTTTTTAATTTTATTTTCATATATGACATTTAAAAGTTTTGCTTCCTTTGTTAAGTAGACAATTAATTAGGATATAAACGTATGCATGAATCATGAAATTGAACCACATCGATTGATTGTAATCTAAGTTTTTTTTTTTTTTTTTAATTTGAAACATCTTTTACTTTTTTAATATTATTTTTAAAAAATTATATTTTTGTCCTAAAATTGTGTTGTTGCTTCAATGGTAGTAAAGGGAAAAAGAAGACGATCAATAACAAACATGTGTTAAAATGTGGGCAAGCAAATGCACCCTCATTTTCGAAAATTATGAATGTGTAAAAAAAATTACGTTTTCTCTCTTAATTTTATATATTTGAACTTACCGATTCCAATTTATTATTCCGTTGACGATGTTTTGTCTTTTTTTAACTAGTAATTTTTATAATTTCTGTTTCATTTTAAACATGATTAAATTTTCCATTTCACTTTAAATATTATTCATTTTTATGATGTTAATTATTATCGTTTAAAAATAAATTATCCTACTGAATGTACTGAAGTTCAAAAACTTCAGTACGGCCGTATTGATTTCATTATGGCCGTATTGTAGTTCAAATGGCTCAGTACGGCCGTACTGAACCTCTAGGAGGGCGTATTGAGCTCCAATCCTCACACACCCTTATTCTAAGCTACTCTAAGACTTCTAGACCTACAAAGAATCATCCTAGGGTCTTCCAGGAGTCCTTCCGGCTGACTTTCCTTCGGTCTTCGAGAGTCTTTGAGTCTTATTTCCGACCCGGACAATTTTAGGGGTCTACAGTGTGTAAGAACTAAGGAAATCTGAAAGACCTTTTTTTTTGCACAGGTAATTTGGTTCGTCTGGTAAAATAAGATTTAAAACATTTGACGATTATGCAAAATTTGCTCAGCTCAAGGTTTTCTGTCTGAGCCTTCTATCATTTTCTTCAAGAAAAATGTTTCTTATATTAATAATTCAAGTCTTTGCATTTTCCTTCTAAAGATAGTTTGTATTGAAGAACGAGTAGTAGACGAACCTTTTGGTGTAATATATTTGTTAAGAAAAATTTGCGTCTTCGTCTGAAAAATGGTTTTAATGAAGAATAGACAGTAAACAAAGTTTTCAATATGATTTGTCAATTAAGAAGTGTTTACGTTTGAAATATAAATAAAACAATGCAATCATTTTTATACTGGTTTGCTCAACTAAGCTACGTCCAATCTTCTTCACTTGAAGGGTTCCACTAGATATGAAATAAAGTACAATGAGTATTATCGTCCACTCTTGGACCTGAGTATTCTCGACCACTCCTATCCCTCCAACTTCACTCACCAGCACTAGTATTTTCTCATGATCATCTTCAAGCTAACAATAAGTATTATGGACCACCCAGGTCACGATCACTCCTAGTCACGAGTATTCTAGACCACAGAGATAAATATAATTGCTCGATTGTATATTTGACTCTAAATGCTTCGTCTCTGTTTTCTCTGTTTCTTGGGCTTGATCTCTCTTTAACCATACTTATGGTTAAGTCATAGCCCAGGGCAATGCCAGCCTTTCCCAGTTTGAGGTTATGGCTTATATATAGTCTTGTAGAATCTTCCCGTTGCATATGTCCGTTGAAGCTGATATTGTCGTTCGAGACTAGTTCAATTCTTTATTTAAAGCATTTGATCTTGCGTTAAATGCTGCTTCCTGTTCATAGACATTGCGTCTTTTTTGAACCTGCAATTTTTGATTTTTACTGAGACCTAGGATCTTTTTGTCTTTTTCCAGTCATGTAGCTACAGGGACTTTGTCTTTTTCTAAAAAGTGGGTGTCCTTTGTTGACACACTCATGATTTGATGTTTAAGTTTTCTTTTCTTCTCTCTTTTTCTCTTCTCACAACTTTGATAACTTCATGTGCTTTTCTGTGAGCATATATGATAATCAAATTTTTCTTTGAAGCTTAATTCTTCTCTTGCTTGCATGTCAGACTACGTCTTTGTCTGATAGTCCATGTGTGACTCAAGACTTGAACTTCGTCTGAGTATTTGATATTGTCGTATGACTTTTCTTCTTGTCTGGTCAATCTTCATATGGATAGACTTTCATTTCCTTATGGAATTCTTATTAGTCTGTACTGTCCTTCGTCTTATTTGAGGCTAACTTTCTTCTAGTTCATTGACCAGCTTTCGTTTGGGTATTTATGATGTGCTTTCCCTTGACTCATGTTTGAAGCATGGTTAATCTTTATCTTATATCTGCTACAGTCTTCATCTGTTGCTTAACCAACTTTAGTCTTGTTCTTCATTTTACCTGTACTTATGCTTTTCATAAATACTAATGCACTTGTTAGAGATAACAACATGTATTATATTTGTCTCACTCAAAACATCTTTTCGAGTCACATGATTTTCGAGTATGCCTAACAGGGCCAAATCATCTACAAAATTTTACCATGATGAATGCTTTACTCAAATCTTTAAGAAAAACCTGTGGTAAGAAAATCTTGAGAAATTGGCCAGAAAAAGAGTACCAAACACCCCATTATTAGGAAAAAAGAAAAAAGAAAATATTATACTAACTTGTAACGGTCTCAATGTGTCATCTTATATTAAGTACACACCCGCGAGGTTTAGTGAAACTCAACACGGGTCGGTCCCTTCATTTGTATGGACTTAAAAAGAGATATCATAAATATTATTTTTTTTAGTTAATCACGTATATATTGTCAATATAAATTTTTTTACACTGGCAGTTAATCAGAGTTGTTAATAGTATTTTTTATTATTATTTTAATTTAATTAAATAAACAGATAAAAAAATACTATTAATAGTTCTGATTGACTGCCAGTGTATAAGTGATTAACTTTTATTTTTTATATACTCTGTAGTTTCATATTATACTATAAAAAAATTAATAAATAAATGAGAATAGTGATTTATAAAGTTAATTTTATAATTAATATTTATTAAATACAATATAAAAATTACTTTTATATAATATTATTAAGAGTATAAATAAAAAATGTGTAATTAATATTATATTAAAAAATTAATATAACATTTATTTCGGGGTCTATTTTTTTTTCTAATATAACACTTATTATGGGATGGAAATTAGTATTTTTTAGGAGTGTTAGCAACACTCCTTTTAATATATTCTCTAACACATTCTTTTTATACATAAAATTTATTGAAAATTATAAAATCAAGAGGGAGAGAAAGGGTCATTAAATAAGATGCGGCATGTAATATTCATCAATTTTAATTAACGATTTTCCTAATGTGTGTCTTAAGACACACTTTAACAATGATTAAAATTCATTATCCAATTTGCTTCAAAAAAAAAAAATTCATTATCCAATACCACTTTTTAATATATTTATTATGTGAGAAAGTAAACGGTAATAGATAACATTAACTCTAATTTTTAAAACTAATTCGATATCATTTTTAACTATGTCCTTTCATTTTCTTTTTTCACTCCCAGTTAAAAAATTGATGAAACATATTTTAACAATATTTTACTTAAAGTAGACATTATTTTATGTTTTTTTTTTAACTCTATTATGTTTTTATCTTAATTATAAATAACAATCATAAGTTTATAAAATTATTCTGACTAAAATTTCTTCTATACATTTCATTTATTGTTAATTTTGCTTCATATACATTTACTTATAACTAGTATCATAAATATAATAATCACTTAAAGTAAAATGTATTTTTATAATAAAATTTAAATTTATGATATAATTAATTAAAAATATTTGTATTAATTTTTTTTTTATCTTAGATAATTTGTTGTATGTTACTTAATTATAAGATGAAGGTACTATAAGTAAATTGACTTAAATACAAAGTTTTGTCATGTAGTTGACTGGGTCCCTCTACATCAGATGGCACCAAGTCTATAACATCTTCACCAGAAAAGCCTCAAAGTCTCATTGTTTTGGTCTGTGTTGTTAATAGTTCAGGTCCCTGTGTGAGAGTGGCCATGGGAAGAGCTCCTTGCTGTGACAAAGCAAACGTTAAGAGAGGACCATGGTCTCCTGAAGAAGATGCAACCCTCAAAAGTTATGTTGAGACTCATGGCACTGGTGGAAATTGGATTGCATTGCCAAAAAAAGCTGGTTTTTCTCTTTTCTCATTTCCACACATTATATTGTTCTTGGCCACACATTTTCATTTATGAATATTTGCTTTTTTTTTTTTCTTCCAATTGAAGAGTTATAACCAACACACCATGAAAATGAAAGGAACGATTTCTTGAGATGAGGAGACAATGAATCTAGCCTGGATTGTTCTTGGACTTTTCTTGGACACCCATTTCCAGAAAACATGTGATTGTTTATTTTCTTTGTTTTATTCAACATGAAGATTGAGACTTGGAATTTTTCTTTTGTTATTGATGCATGCATTTTACTCGAATTTCAATTATCATTTTTATTTGCTAACTATTATATATATATATTTTTTTTGGGACATTCTTGATCGAGAGTAGGACTAATATATAAAAAGATTAAGATCTATTTAATGAATTTCTTCTCTCAAAGAGTTTTTTTTCTTCTTCTATGCTTTCAAACTGAAACCACTTTTTTTTTTTTTTTTTTTTTTCTGCACGATTATCTCTAAACTATGCAACACTGGTCATATTTCTTTATGAGTGAATATCCATGGTTGGTTTATGGGGGAGGATTGAGGCAGTATTCACATCGAAATTATTTATTGCTATTATTATAATTTTTACGGACAAAAAATATTTTTGAATAATGATACATGTGCAAATTAATTGATTTGTGTCCATCATTTCATATTTCATTATTTACTGCATTTATAGATGAGAGAGATAAATATGAAAAATAGTGTTATACTTCATCCCTCATATAATACGTATTGTGTTTAAAGAAAAAATAGTCACAAAATAAGTGTTATATTAATTTGTTAATATAATATTAATTATCTCTTTTTTTATTTATCTATTTCTCATAATATTGTTTAGAAAGTGACTTTATATTGCATTGTTTTTAATAAAAAATTAATTAATTAAAAAATTGATTTTGTAAATTCACTATTTTTCATCTTTGTATTAATTTTTCTTGGTTAACCTAGGTTGACACTTATTATGGGAGAGAAGTGTAAAATTTGTTATATACTTTATTTGTTTCATTTTGTTTGATGTTTTTGCATTTTTTTTCTCTGTTTCAATTTGATTGTTGTTTTTACAATATCAATATAATATTAAATGTTTTTTATATCCTTAATCATCATTAATGCACTTTAATTATTATTGGTGGAAAGAGGAGTGTCAGTAAAACATTTACTTTCATGGTTAAAAATTATTAAATCTACAAATCAAGAGAGAAAGACATTAAATAAAGAATAAGACTCACTAAATTTTGTGTTTTCTAATATAAATTTCAACTAATTAGAGAGAGTGATTAAAAAGGTGTGTGAGAGAGTATATTAATGTTGCTAGCATTTCTCTTTGTTGAAATTCAAAAGGTTTACTAATAAATTAGTAAGTTACATAATTTATTTTATGAAATCAGACATATTAAATATATTTTTTAAAGTTTTATGTAAAAATATTAACATTAAATAAAATAAAATGAAAAAAATAAATTATTATTTCTTCTATTCCCTATTATAAAAAAAAAAAAAATTTTGTTCTTAAATATATACTAATTTTAACAACTTTGTATTATTAATGATATTCTTCCTAAAATATCTTTATTTTAATATATGATCTTTGAGTTACATTACTTCATTTAACATTGATTACATTTATAATAAAAATAATTTAAGAAGAATATTATAAAATTAGTAAACTAATTTTTTTTAATATACCTAAATTCAGTTTTTCTGGTGCATGCATATCATCTTTTAGTTTGAGTCACTCACAAGTCACAATGATAACTGATATTGTGTTTATCTGTTTCCGTTTCCACCATTTCCTAGCCATAAATAGCTTGACTGCTTGAGAAGCTAACCCGGCATGAAACAAGGAGTAGAGTTTCCCTTTTCTTCTCTCTCAATTAATGTCTTAATTCATCATTTTAATTCACACAAAAAACAACATGCCAGTTTAGCAAACACAAAATAGTCAACAACGTTTGTTTCCTTTGATTTTTTTTCTCTCTCTCTTCTTTATTTTCAAAATATCCACTACAATAAATGTTACATATAGTAACATACAAAAAATATCACTATAAATATAATATATATAGGTATATATCTATTTGACATATAGCTACACACAATTTTAGTATTAATTTTGAATGAGATTTAACTACATATTTTGTATGTTACTATAGTTTATACCTACACTTTTTAACAATATACCAATATATATTATATTTATTGTGTAGGTAAAAGTAATTTTTAGTGACACATATTATATCACTATAGGATATGTGTCATTATATGACAATTTTCTTGTAGTGATTATATCATGGTGTATAATACTAATATAGTATTATTATTATTATTATTACTATTATTATCATTATTATTAATAAATATATGCAGGCCTTAGACGGTGTGGCAAGAGTTGCCGTCTACGGTGGCTAAATTATCTGAGGCCAGACATCAAACATGGAGGCTTCACTGAAGAAGAGGACAACATCATTTGCACCCTCTATGCTCAGCTCGGAAGCAGGCAATTTTTTCCAACTTAATTATTTCAAGTTAACACTATAATATTCATCATAGATTAAAATAATTATGACTACTACATGTGCATCTTATTTATTTTTTTAATTAATTAGCATGTACCCGTATCATAGATGTCTTATATCATTATCTAATTATAAATTAATTTAAATTGGAATATACTTTTGGGTTGATCAGTTGGCCTACAGGACAAACCTTTTTAATTTTAGGCATGAAAAAATCAGGCTAATTTGACTTTGGTCTAACACAGGCTAAGTCAGCTTAGTAAAATTTATGTTTGAAAGGTATGGAATCTAGCTGGCCTGATTTTTTTTCTTCTCTCTTTTAAATTACATATAAAAATTACTAAAAGAAATTGGCTCAATTTGGTCAGATCTGAAACCTAGATAAAAGTCAAGTCAACCTGTTTTTCATGGTCTGTTTGTTGGCTCTATGACTATATAATAAGATACTATGTAGTTAAAAATTTTAATTTATAAAAAAAATATTTTATTATGTGTCATGTAGAAATTAATCGACTTTAATATGAATGATTATCTTATTTAAAGACTTTGCTTTGCTGAGAAAGTTTTTTATTTCATGTTTAATTTAATTTAATTTATTATAATTATTTATGAATTTTTAAATTTTAATATTTTAAAATAAATTATTAATAAATAAAAATAATCTTATGTTATAATATAAATTATTTATCATAAATATAAAATATAATTTATATATAATAAATATTTGTCCTATACATTTTACATACTAAGATATTATATTAGTTAGAAATTATGTGATAAAAAATCGCCTAAAAATTTCTCCCAAGGTGTAAGTGTACTATTTCCCATTTTAAAATTTTATGTATGACTAATTATTTTTTTTATGCACAAATATTATTGTAAGATTAAACTATGGTACTCTCATAAAATTGTGCTCTTGCTTGTTCAGATGGTCTGCCATAGCCTCTCAACTTCCTGGAAGAACCGACAATGATGTGAAAAACCACTGGAACACAAAACTGAAGAAGAAGATAATGTCAGGAGAAGTTAGTCTCAAAGCATTGACTAACAACGACCCTCTAATTCCTTCATCTCCAACCCCATCACTAACCCAAAATTCAGTTTTCCCTTCTTCACAAAATCAAAATTTTCTACCTCCCATGCTGTCAATCTTAGATGCTAATTCCGGGTTCAACAACGTTAATGAACAAAACATTAGTTTCGACCAAACTAATGGGTTGTATGGTCCACATGTCATGGATGTTGTCTCAGAAATTGGTGCAAGTTCAAGCATCAACAATAATATTAATCCCATGGTGTCATTGTCTGGAGAAGGTTCAAGTGTTTCGGATTCGTCTTCAATTGCAATGAACAACAACAAGGGTAGTGTGTCACAGCCACAACATGCTAGTGATGAATCTATGGAAATGATGGATTTTGGCTTTGGATTTCCCTATGATCTTGTCAATGGTCTTAACTGCCATTATGAGAGAGTTGGTGAGTTTCCTCCAAGTTGGTACCCAGAGTGGGTTGATTTTAGCTATGCCAACATTAAGCCACATTAATTAATAGTTATACAATGTATAACCATAGGATATTATGTAAGGAAAAAAAAATTGTAAAAACATATGACATCTTCCTAGTTTGCTGATCTAGTATTTTAATTAGTGGTTCTTAATGTTCATAAATAGGAACTACATAGTTTTTGACTAGGTCAAAATTTGAATTTAAGGGAATGAAAAAGATTATTGATCGATAAGATGCTCTTGAGTCTTTGTTAATTAAGGTTCATGCATGTTGTGGTTGTGGGGCCTAGCTAGGAGACTTGTTTGGTATGGGGATTTATAGATATTATGTGTTGATGACATAAGCACGTTTGTCAGGTTGTTATTCATCAGAGGTCACAGAAGTTGCATGGAGGAGTGACTATTTCAAACCTTAGAATTGAATACTGTTGTCATTCTCATCATTCATTAGCCATTAAAGATTCTCTTTCTTTTTCTCTCTCCTCTTATGATGCATTTTATCAACCATAGTAAATAATCATTATGAGCTCTGAAATATTAATTCATTGTCAAAATATTCCCGGTTTATGTGCTCCCTCCAAAATAAATAAATAAATAAGGTAGAGTGCTTTTTTTTTTTCTTCTGCCACAATTATTTTTAATCTATTAGATCAAAGACAAAACTTATTTACAATATTATAATTGTTATTGGTCCAAATTTTTATACATGATAAAGATCGAAAACAGAATTTTCTATAAAATAAATGATCCTCATAATATATAAGCGTACAACAAGACCAATATATAATATTATCATTAAATTATATGTATGAATTAAATTTGCGATAAATTTCATATTTGTAAGTTCAAATTAATTTAATGAAATATTACTTAATTTTTAAGTTCTATATAAGAATGGTGTAAAAGAAAAAGTTCTATATAAGAATTGATTCACTTTATTTCATTCATCAAAATATCAATTTTGTAGTTTCGATAATAGAAAACATTTAGTTTTTTGTGTTTTATAATTATAATTCCTATTAGTTTTTCAAGTAATAAGGAAAATTAATTTTTTAAACAAAATTTGAATCTTGTTATTAGATAAAAGATTATTTGTTTAAAGAACTCTATCTTCTTAAATGAAAATACTTGACTCAAATTACTCAGATTCCAATACGATTTCAATATATTGTTGTCAAAAAAATATTTATGTTTGGACGAATGTTGAATTTTATTTTATTTTTTAATGAAGTGCGTATTTGTTTTCATTTTTAAACGCAAGTTTTCCTTCACTTTTCACATTTAATTGTGAATTTAAAGAGAAACTACTATTTTTGACTTTTGATTAAACGTAAAAAATCATGTCTTCACGCTAATACAAATACATGCAAAATTGATTAGGTAAAATTCATTTCAGTTAAAATTGATTTCGAAGCGGTACATGTAATTTATATTTTAGTGTTTTTATTATAAAAACAAATTAGTAACAAAACTCATTACAAAAAAACAATAGCATAAACAAAATTAAAATTTTAAAAGCATATTACATCAATCATCTACCATTAGGTTGATTTGAATGATTCTAATACAAAATTTTCGATCCAACGGAAAATTTACTTGATATCAATATAAAAAATATGTTAACTAATTCGTATTTTAACATGAGTATAGAGAATCCAAAATAAAACCAAACACATATATTTTGAAATAATATCCAAACTAGTGATTATAATATCATGTAACTTGCACATAACATTTGTATAATTGGGCAATGTCAGCTAAATTGTCTCACATTAGGGTTGTTCCACTTGTTAATTTTCCAAGTAAGGACCACTGTTTTGTGACTTTGATCAACTATTAATCACTACAAGTTCAGGAATCATATCTGAATAATAGAAAAAACACTATGCCACTGTACATGTGTGTCAACTATTGTTAGCCAAGTTTACTATACTAATTAATATGCATTTGTAAAACGTAATTTTTTTTATCAAATATTATTTTAAATCGATTTTATAAAAGACAGGTCAACTTTTAATGTTTTAAGAAAGACTTTATAATTACTAAACCAAAATGCTTAGTGTTTTCTGATTACTTTCATTACTATATGTTATTTTTATTTGTTTTTTTGCTAAACAAGAAAAAGGCAAAAGCTATCTTTGATATTAAACTGGCCGAACTATTCTTTACTTTCTTTTTAATTTCAAATGTTTAATTTGGAAAGAGAATTTAGTATAGTTTGGAATTGAAATTTTAGAAGACTTTCTTCGAAATTTTAATTTGAAAATGTATTAAACTTTCTTCTAAAATTTCAATTTCAAAAATGATTTACAAATCACTTCTAAAAATTTAATTCCAAAATAAAATTGAATATATTAGATGTCTTTAAGTGAATAATTTATTTTTTTATTTATTAATCATATTATTAGTATAAAGTATCTATCAACTTTTTTTATGACTAATTTTCATGAAGAACATAAGTCAACAATTATTTTGAGAATACACAAGTAATTTAATTAAGACATCCATAAAAAAATGTAAATATTGATGTTTTCTTTAGTGAATACACGAGTAATTTAAGACATCCATAAAAAAAAAAATAATATGTAAATGTTGATGTTACAAACACACGTGATAAATCATTCAAAGTGATGTTTATCATGTTATCAACCACTAATTTTTCATTAACAATTAAAATTACTCACTTTATTTTTAGCTACTTTAACCAAGTCCTAAAAAACTCATAAAAAATGTAATTCCCATACAAAACTGGAATGCTCAAAAAAATAAATAAATATATATATATAAAAACCTGTTTGTTCTCATGTTTGCATACAAACTAAGGTGAATTCTCTGAAGGACCACTTTCACAAGTGGTCCATGGGTGCATCATCAATTTTCACCCTTAGATGCATCTAAACTAGTAGACCATAATACACCTTACCACACTGGATCTAAATTTTTGATTTTTTTACTGATTTTTTTTTTTAAAAATTACCCAAAAAAAAAAACACGTGGATTAAATATACAAACACTAACCCAAACATACTCTAAACCATTCCAAATCCTTGTGCCCACTTGTTACATGTCCTGTATAAAAAATTTAACGTGTGTTTGGATTATTTTTTAATTCTATTAAAATCAATTATAAGATTAAATCAAAGGTTAACCAACAAATAGTTTTTTTTTTTTTAACTTTTTTAATTCTTTACCAGGATTTTGTGGCTCAGAATAGATTATAAGATGTATCCAAATACACTACTAGATTTCAACAAACATTATCCCTGTTTACAAAGCAATTTTTTTTTGGGTACAAATCACAGGGTGTTTTTTCACTGAAACAATTTTATTTCAGCCAATTAGAACTATACTAAACGGTAAAACTCTATCTCTAAATATTTCTTACAAGATTGTATTTCACTATTTCAGCCAAAATTCAAGGGCTACTAACTTAATTTCAGTTTTCATATGCCCGAAGTTGTGGTTTCTTCTGAAGGAAGAGACAAGCCACTGTGCAGTCATCCACCATAGAGGAAGGATACTTCTTTTGCCACGCAGCATTGGCTGCTTCCACCACTGCCCTTGCTGCTGCCTCTTCACTCTCTACACTCCACACAATTGATGCAACCTCACTGTTACTTAGCACATCCCACACCTATAAGCAGCAATAAAACAAAGTCTATGAAAAATGCTTGTGCAAAAAATGATACTCCATTAATTAATTCCAAACACAATGAAGGTATGCTTGAAGTTGGATGTACACTGGAGAACCACATTGAAACCAATTAATTGATGGAGAAATCACTCTGTATTATTTCTGTTGGATGTAGAAAGAAAGAGAGTTGATCCACATTTTTTATTTGGTTACAAACACACTAAATGTATCCAAAAATTCTTTTCCTTTGAATCTCCACATGCAAAATAGAACACTTTGGTATGCAAATAACAGGTACGTACCCCATCACTTGCAAGAACAACAAATTGGTCACTTGATGTTAGGGAATGATAGGAAATATCTGGGATGGCAGTGAGACCGTGATCTTTGAGTAGAAAATCTCCAAAAGCTCGAGACATGGCTAGGCCAGGGGAGTTCTCATTGTTGGGAATCCACACTCGTTGGATATGAGGTTCTTCCTTCAACGCATACACACAACCATTGTTCCTCCTTATTCTTTCTGCTTCTCCTGCATCTCAAATTATATACTAGGTTTTAGTAGTCTGAGATCCCTTTAAGGAGTTGATCACTCCTAACAAATGTTTTTCCATACATAAAACTCGGGAATCGAACCTGACAACATGCTTAAGAGACAAGATTATCTAACATCTATTTGATACATTTTTATTGGTTATTTGAAAGTTAAAATTCACCTATTTGATGGAAATCATTAGAGTCTTACGAGGTAATCCTGGCTTCAAATCTGTGGTCAATTGAATGGCTATGAGTTTTTCATCATAGATTGTTCCCAAAACTGCTCTTGAATCACCAAGATTAGCTATGACAAGACCTTCACCCTGTATATAGTTATTGTTACATTATTTTCATTTCACAATGAACATGAAATCAAATGGGAAAATCTTGAGGGTTCATTTTCATTCACCTGTTTTATGATGACTACAGCAGTGGTTCCACTGCAAGAGTCTACATTCTGTTGAAGCTTCACCTCCTTGTCCATCACCTTGAAAGCACTCACAATTGCTTCTTTCCATTTGTGAAAACTCTCTGTGTCAACATGGTATTTTGGGGAGGTGTTATTACCATTTTCTATCGCACCAATCTTGTCAACAACTTTCTTTTGATCCAATATGAGTGAAGACAAACGACTGTTTACTATTTTGCTCACTATGTGTCCATACCTTCCATGCCCATCATAGACGCCACAAAATGCTCCATCTTCCATCCCATAACCCTTTGGGAATAACCAAGGAAAAATAGCAAGGTGTTTCAATAAGTTAAAGTAGTAAACAAATGTTAGTTTTCTTTTAATGAAGTATTTATTGATGTTTTTTAAAAAAAAAATTATTAGAAAACTTAATTGATCATTTTTAATAGAAATTTATCTGTTAATCACATTTTTGCATCAACAAGACTCAAACATGATATCTTATTTGAGAAGATCAAGTTCAGTTTCTTTTTGATCAACCATATTGATAAATCTTCATTAAAAATGATTGATAGAATAAAACAATAATATTTTTTAATTTAATTAGAATGAACTATATATGTAAAGTATACATGTTGACCATGGTTTTAAATTGCACTTGCGGTTGCGAGTATTGCGATGTAGATTACGGCCGTTGCGGTGTGAAATTATTAATTATTTTCAGTAAATATAAAAAATTTATAATTATCAATATATATTTTATTTTTAAAGATTTATACATTTTAATTCCTTTTTTTTAAATATTCTATTATTTTAATGAATAATTTAATTTATTTTAAAATTATAGTATCAA